TAAAAGTGTAACAGAAATTATCCGCCAACCTAATATTTCCCCCCTTTTTATGCTTGAGGCTTTTATTTGTAGTCCGTGATGCCCTCAAACTCGCCTTTGAAATGTGTGATGAGAACTTATGTAAAGCAGCTTTACCCGACAATCGCGGTCAAATTGATAGGTAAGTGTAACTTTATTTCCTTTCCATGATGGTATTTACTCATCATTTAGTTTACTCAAAGGGAGAAAAGCTGCACTGCGAAGAGCGGCGAAAAAGTAAAATTTTCCGTGCCCTTCTGAAAATTGCATAAGATTCAAAATAAGATTTTACCCCATAAAAAGTGGAGCATATTCCATATATCTATTTCAGGCTATCGGTGGCGACTGCTGCTGCGGGTTCTTGTGCCACACTTGCTCATGTACGGAAAGGTAACCTCCACGTAGCTAATGTAGGAGACGGAGCTGCTGTTTTAGGTACTTTACTTTTCAGCTATTTCTGATCCAATTTTCTTACATTTTTTTCTGCTTTCGAGGCGGTGTATACTTTATTCAGGCGTAGTAAATCCAAGTGGCAATGTCATAGCACGGCAGCTCTCTAGAGCTCATTGTATAGATAATGCAGACGAGGTTTTTTTTTCGTTGGCAAAAAACCGTTTCTCTTGGAATCTGATATTCTGTAGGTGCAACGGATACGTTCGGAGCATCCCATGTACGAGACGCATATACTTCGAGGAGGAAGATTATTAGGAGAACTATATCCATTACGAGCATTTGGTGATGTGCGGTTCAAATGGCCTTTGGATCTGCAAAAGGTACGAATTCTGTTCTTGTAAAAGTGAGACTATTTTCTTTTGATCTAGGTCGTCCTTGAACCCATGGGTAGTCCCGCACCTCCACATCTACATACACCTCCCTATTTATCAGTCTCACCAGAAGTTTTCTACCATAAACTAACTCCTAATGATAAATTCTTGGTAATAGCCACTGACGGCTTATGGGAATGGCTCGATCCGGATACTGTAGTACGACTAGTGCATGACCATACACTCGGCACTATGACATTACAACCATATCAGCCAAAAAATGGTATAACACTCAAACAGGTATTTGCTATAGTTTTTTATTTATATTCGTTTTTCATTCAATAATCCGTATGTCTGATGTTTTGTTAAGGTCATGATGGACATTTTGGAGCGGAGGATCGGAGCCAAAAGCCACAAAAAGCCAATTGATGAAAATTGTGCCACACATATTATCAGACATGCGCTTGGTGGAGTAAGCGGTGGAGAGAGCAAACAATATGAAAGGTTGATCGATATTCTACAGGTTTGTTTAGAGAATATATGTTTCTGTTTTTTATATCGCACGATGCACACAGCCACGTGCATTCTGCTTGCGCTCATTTTATCTCACAAAGTTCGATAAGGTAGGCGCCAGGCTAGCTGATCGGGGTAGGGCAACAAAGGCCGCCAGTTTGAGCCGCCTATCGCTGCCAACTGGTCCTTTGGCAATGTTACTGCATGCCGTTCCAGGACCAGTAGTCCACAGAGGCGGCTCAACGGCTTTCATTCTCCAACTGATCGCCTGCTTCTGCAGCAGGACGCGCGTAGATTTAATGTGATTTGGCGTCACGTTGGACGGAAGTTGAAGCGGCGTCTGCCGCACTAACTACATTTTTTATTCTGCAAGTGTGTTCAATCATCTACCTCATTCTCATAACACACGCAGATTATATAATGTAGTTGTTGCGGCGGACGCCGCTTCAACTTCCGTCCAATATGTCGCCAAATAACGTTAATTCTGCGCGCGTTTTGCTGCAGAAGCAGG